CCCCAAAACCCCAAAACCCCAAAACCCCTCTAAATATTATTCGAATTGAACTTTCTGAGATTTAATCAAAATTGTCTTACAAAAGTTCTCTTAAAATTTAGTAGCATTGAATTTGTAAGAATAAGTTAGCCAAAAGATATAAGTGGGTTTTGACTATGAGAGCTAAATTTTTGTGCTGAGGCCTTATGTATTTACTTCAAATATAGTAAAATTAGTTCAGTCAAATCTCATAAAAATATGGACGCAACAAGCATTAGAAGCAACTTATAAAATTGATTTTTATCGATTTGTGTCGCAATTTATCAACATTTCTATTGGTCTAAAATTGTTAATTTTCTTTTAAGTGTGTATATGGCAAATATGAATGTTATTCTATCTATAAATAAGTTGCTTCTCTTTCAAGTTCACTAAAGATACCCTCCATAATATACCTCATTTCTAATTCTAAAACCACATCTCTTCTCAATCCCATGTCATTTTCTCCTCTAAAACCCTACCAATCCCTCAAAATCTACGACTAAACCCCTAAAACACCCTTCTAAACCTCTAATCCCCTCCAAATCCCACCCTTTCACCCCCTTCTACATCTGACCCAAGGCCTTCCTGCACCCTTGCCTCCCCCTCATTCTCCACCTCTATGTCCCTAAAACTTCTATTAGAATCCTTCAAAACTCTCTTTGAACAGTAGTTCAAGTCAAATATGTTTTAGCCTATTCCTTACAGACTGGAAACTCTGAATAGAAGTAAATATGAGTTATTTAGATAGGGCTTAGTCACATGGCGGTCATGCTTTCTGTTAATGAGTCGTAGTCATTTGCTATTTCTTCGAGCATGTCTAGTTTGCCTATGGTCGAGAATGAGAGATATAGGTGATGGAGAGAGGTTGGTATAAGAGAATTTAGGACTTACTGAACCAGAACTTATCTTCAAATTGGATGTCATAGAGGTATACTGAATCGTAACTTCTGTAAAAAACTTACCTATAAATTTTCAGTATCGACTGTGTAGGTAGGTTCTAATTCTAGTGGATTAGCTGTCTGTTCAGGTTGTTTCCATTCCTAAAATCTTCGTCAAACTCTTACTTTAATTCTATGAGCTAGAATAGTTGAAAAATTTGGCATCATAATTCTTAAATTCTCGTTATTAGCTAAAAGGACAGCAAGAGTTCTCCATAAAGCTCCTTGAATATGAGCTGTAATGAGACCTATGAGGACACCTAGTTTGAAGAAGAAGGCAAGGTCCATATTTTCAAGCAGATCGACTAAATTCAATAAGAATTATATCAAAAGGGGTTTTGGGGTTTTGGGGTTTTGGGGTTTTGGGG